CAGGGGTGGGGATGGAAATACCTTAGGCTGATGCTGCCCACAAAGACAGTGCATCCTTAAACACGACCCTCAGGGGCCTTCTGATTTCTGCTCTGCCGCTGACTCTTCTGAGACAAGTTTGCAGCCTCTGTACCTCTTTTTTTTCCCAAACCTTATCCACATCTAAAGGGAAGCACAACCTGACCGCTCCCTTCCTTAGTGTGACACAAAGGAGACACAGGCAGCAGGGACATTTCACAGTCTGGCAGGTGGGAGAAAGTAACAGGGATCCAGTACGGCCTGAAAAAAGGCTCTGCCAGAGAGGCAGGCAGAAGGATTAGGATGAGCTCAGAGTGTACACCTGCGGGTCGTTCCCTCCAGGACAGACACAGCCACTCCCAAAAAGTGGGCGAGAACCTTGGAATTCTGATTTTCAGTCCCCTGACACAGAAATGTTGGTAGGTCACAAATTTTATGTCACTAGCCTACATTTTCCCTAGTTTGTATTCTTGTATTGTGACAGCATATCTATACTTTTTTCTTCAGTTAATCATTGCATTTTGCTCCTCAGAGTTTACAGTGCTTCGGAGTCTCAAGACACGGTATTTGCAGATGTGGCCCCTTTGCTAACATCTCTCCTGGATGGGTAAGTTAAAAGGTGGGAGTAAGAAAGCTAAAGGGCAATAAGCTACTGAAATCCATCAATTTCCTGTCAAGTTTTGTGGCTTTTCAGTTGCATTTTCCTATTTTCTTCCTACTCAACACCAAATGAACGTTTTTTTCCCCATATAAACAGTGAAAACACTATTTACAAAATTTAGCAGAGCAGACAAATTTGGGAAAAAATAATTAGTTTTTTTTCCTCTGCTCTCTTTCTGGCAAACTTAAGCATTGGTTCTAATGCAAGATACTATCTTTTTTTGTGTTTTGGTAGGGTATGTTTTGTAACTGGTTTTCAGTTGTAGACACAGTATGATACATCTTTTCCAACAGTGTATTCATACATGAAAGGCCTGCCAGGGCCACTCTCTGATCATCTGTTCTGTTTTTGTGTGCAGCACAGGCCGTAGGAGGTGATACGATCCATTCCTTGTTGAACCAGAACTGAGCATCCTCGGTCGTAGTTCTAACCCTCCTTCAGGCACTGGGGTTAAAGCAGAGTTCTGGTTTGAATACAAAACTGATCAGTAACAACCACTAACAAATATGTGTAATTACTTCTAGCCACTGAAGTTCATGAAGTGTGATTCTTCATTTATACTAGAGCCAACCTAAGCTACTCTTGCGAAGAAGCCTTGGAGTGCATATTGTTGTAATCCTTGAGGCTTGAACTGAGATTCATACAAAACTTCCTTTCTGCTCCTTTCTCACCCCCGCTCCAACTCCACTCAATTAGAGATGGTGACTGTAGAGCTGTCCTGGACATTTCCCTCCCTGTAGAGGGAAAGCCGGTCTCTTTCCATCCGCAGTGGCATAGTTGAACACTGGCAATCCTTGTTGCTGGCAGTCTGCACACTGAAGTTTCCAAGTCTCCTTTTCTTAAAAGCAACCTAGAAGCAGCATATCAGGATATTATGGATACTGGGAAATCCCAGCCATCCCTTTACACATCATGCCACAGAGGGGCCCACGGGGGCTGCCTGGGCTAAGGGAAGTCCTATGTGGCCCATACGGCATTATTCTAGTGTACCAAGGATGAGTAACCACAGTTTCCATAGCTGAGCAACCTAGGGACCACTAGGTTGGAGGAGTTTGAAGAAGTCCTTATAACCACTGTTTTCTCTCTCTGCTTTTCCTTTTGCAATGACCATAAGTTTGCTTTGGCTCAACACGTTGTCTATGTATCTTCAGACATCTCTGATCTGTACCTTGAATCTGCTTTACTTTCCAATTTCCACGTCAAGAGAATCCTGTCCTAAAAGCTAGGATTTTTATATTCAGTTAGGAAATGTTCTGTTATTGAAAACAAAAGAGTTGTCTTGTTCTTCCAGAAGTGCCATTTAAACAGAAACAGATTTTCAGGGAAGGCGAGGCTGCGCGTACGAGCCATGTTTCTCAGCAGCCTTCCCATTGTAAATGGGAAACAGACATACTTAGTCTGAACCTTGAACCTTTTTGCTGCTCCTGATTGTTTTAGTCTGGGCTCCAAAGTGGTCTGTAACAACTTTTAGCTTAAGTAGAAAGGAGCGTTCCACTCCTTTATTTTTTCTTTATTTTTCTTTCTTAATGAATTGTTTCGTTGTTCAGTATAAACATACAGGAAGAAAAGATTGTCCCATATGCAAAACAGACAAAGTACAGCAGGCTTCAAAGTTTAGAGTTAGCCATACAGGGCCAGCAAGGGAGTAGGATAACATTTCTTTTCTTTACATCGTTGAAGAATCAAACTTGTTTATTTATTTTGAAGAAGAATACATTCCTCCTCCTTTGATTTCCTTTAACAGTGTTCTCTACTAGTGGTAACTTTGCTATACTGAACACCCACCCTCTTTTCAGGAGAGAAATACTACAAAACTACTGGTATTCTAGCTTGACAATAAGAACTTTTTGAAACAAGAATATAACTAATGAAGCAGAGTGGAGAAGGAGAAATGTCAGGGCACACAGGTGAATCATAGTTCGAAATTTTCAGATTGCTCTATTGGAAACCCTTATGTTGGAACCAGAACAGCAGCGAAGTAAAGTAGGTAAATATAGTCTGCTGCTTGTCTTCTTGTTGAATCACCCAACAGTTCATTCTCTCCTGTGCCTGTCCTACTTAGATATAATACTGCTTTGGATAGTTTGAGCTCACTTGGGCTTACTGAAATACTGTGTTACCTTTGGCAGAGAAGTTATCACTGATTGATACCTGATTTGCATCGTTACCTTCAATGCTACAAGCACTTGTCTGCTTAGCTTCTAATCATATTCTCTGTATCTTGTCAGAACTATTTTGTCCATGATGCTTACTTTCTAACAAGTAGCAATTAGGGAAAATTTGAATAGCTGGACTATACGAAAGTTTGAGAGACTTCTAAAAAAACTTCCATTCTGTTTTTCCTAAGGAAAGCTACTACCTGCAAACTTCTGGCTCCCTTTTTGGTTCCAAAGATCTCTCTGATTTTGGAGTGGGACTAGAAGTCTCAATAAGCTACAGGCTGGCGAGGCAGTGTGCATGAGGGGTGGAAATTGCTAGCTGAAAACTACCAAAATTAGTGGGAGCTTTTCCACTGACATAAATGCAAGTAGAGTTATGTCAGCAGTGAATACTTAGAGAAATCCCTTGTTTCAGATTTACAGCCCTAATTTCTCGCACATTTCATTTTGCTGTAGTGCTCTTTATTTTCAGTTACAGTTATCTCATCTCCTTTACTTTGTCAAATCTATGACTAGACTGCTATTTCACACTCTGCATCCTGAAACGTGGAGGGAACTTACTACAGGTTCACTGACTGCAACTTCAACTTTGCATCCCCAGAAGGGGTGCCCAGGTATTTGCTTTGTTGCTTATCAGCCCACATTTCTTTTTAACAAGAGAAAGCTTTCTAAATAATCCTCCAAAACTAATTGCCTCTAGGCGTGTTTAATATGCAAAAAATTGCTGCAAATATATTTCTCTGCAATGGCCATATAAGTATTTCATGACTTGAAACTGTAAATTTAAAACAATTAGATGAGGGGTGTTCATTGAAATTTGCTGGCCTGTGCTTGAAACAACATTTTTGATATGAGGAAAAGCATCGGATAACCAAAAGCAGCTGTTCAGGTCTGCCTATGGAGGAGGTATAGCTTAGGCAGTGAAATTTTACTCCCTGGCAGAACAGGAACAAGCCCATTCTTGCAACTCTCTAGCAGAGCAGAAATTTCAGCGTAGCGCAAAGCACTTCGCCGTGTATGGAGATTCTGCTAACGTTGTGTCTCTGAACAAACGCAATAATCCAGGGAAGGAGCACTCCTGTCGGCATAACTGCATGTCTTCCAAGGGTTTTTGCTGGCACAGTTCTGTGGTCAACACCAAGGTGCTGGCAGGTGCTGCAGGGCAGCCGCAGCCCAGCAGGGACCAACCTGCAGCTGCACAGTACGGTGTTGGCCCTCAGCACAAAGTAGTGCTGTGGCTGGATGCATTTGTATCCGCCCACTTGTTTTGCTTAAGACGTTGACTTTGATCTGACTGTGTTAGAAACACACTTTCTGGATAGGATTCATACATCTGAATTCAGATCCCTGCGGCACAGACATCGCCAACAGAGCTCACAGCTGTGGACTTTTTTAGAATTATTTTCAGTGCAGAGAAACAGGCGTTTTCAGAGTTCTGTTCATTAGACGTACTTTACATGTCTACTTCAGAAGATGATGAATTGTGTTTCATAGGTGCCCGTACCTCTGCAGCGACATTGTACATTTTCACCTTCTACAAGTCCATACCAGAGCAGTTCCTACCACCTTTATTCCAGAGTGGTCTTTGTGTGCATGCTTATACTGAACTAACGCATTTGGTTTAAAATCTGTGCCTCTTAATAATAAGTCTGTCTTATCTTTTCCAGTGACTGTGGAAAAGTCAGAGGGCTATGACTGATGAGCCTGCCTGAAAAAGACTACGATAGCTGAAGAGTTTACTCTTCCCAGCTGTTAAGATAATAGTGCTGTGGTTTGCAGCATAGCACTGTAAGACAAATCAAACCCAACGATAGTTTACTTTAAAATGCTGTGCTGTAAACTGCAGTGGTTCAGGAGGTGATTAACAAGCAGCTCAGTAGTGCATGAACTGGAAGCTGGGCAGATACGAGGTCTAACCTCATCAGTCATTCCAAGCTAAGCATCCCTTAAACTCTGCTTAAAAGCATCCCTTCAGCTCTGCTTAAAACATGAAATCTGTTTAGGCAATGTTATGAGCAATACTTTGATTTCTGTCAGATTTTGAGATCTCCAGAAAGAAATCTGTAGGGGCAGTGTATTTATTTTTTGTTTCATTTATGTTCCCAAATTGTTTGGGGTTGGACTTGCCACCTAACAAACACATTTGGTAATGGTAAAATAAATGAAGGCCCTTTTAATTTTCAGGTACAATGTGTGTATCATGGCTTATGGGCAAACTGGAAGTGGGAAGACATACACAATGTTGGGCCCACAATTAGTGGAGAACTTTGCATTCTCCATAGAAGAGGAATCAGAACTTGGAATTGTTCCTCGAGCTGCCCACGAAGTGTTCAGGTAACAACTAAGTAAAGGCTCGTGTCAGTGGCAGTCACCTTAAACTTTATAGAAAGGATGAAATAATGTTTGTAAAGTTTACCAGATTTCAGCTTCACAATGGTTAATATTTATAGCCTCTCTAACTGCCATTCACTATTTGAGTTTAGATACAGATTTCTAGTCTCTCTCCTACTTAGTCTGATTTTCTAAGAAAATAAGATCATGCAGTCTTGCTGTGTGTTATCTGTCTATCTGTCTTTCAGAGTCCTAATTAACTTTTTAATATGTTTCAACCATAGTTGTGGGAGTCCAAAAGATAACTAAGTCCTTACAAGTTTTGTGAAAATTGACAATTGGAATAGTTGAAGAGGATCCAGATTAGAACCCAGTCCCCAACAAGAATGACAGTAGAATTTTTAACCACGATCTGTTCTTGCTTTGAGAATTCTTAGATTTTTTTAGTTGAACCTAATGCACGATTTGAACTGATAAACTTCTGTTATAACAGAAGAGCAATTAGAGGTTTTTCCAGCTAAGCCTATTTCTTTTAGAGAATGGTATAAGATAAATCAAAGATCCAATTTTGTACCAGAACAACTGTGTCTAACTGTAAATACTCTTCTGAATAGACAAGCCCTTAATTTATGAATTTTCTGAGGCTGTGGACAGATAACCTCTTACAGATCTAGCTGGGCAGTTTACCATCTCTGCCTATTCATTGCTTGCACTCTGCCAGAGTTTATCGTACCTTGAGCTCTGAATGCAATAACATCCACCAGAGGAAATGGTATAAAAAAATCTTGAGGAGGCAGGGAGGCTAGTGGAGAAAAACAATTTAAGCTGACACAGCTGTTTGGAAGATGAAGTTTTATTTACTGCTCCACATATAATTTAACTGTATATTCTGATTCTTCAGCTTAACATTAGCATGTGGATGAGGCAAAGCCAAGGCTGTGGATACTTAATAAGCACTTTTATCAGATTGTAATTAGATTACAATTAAAGAATAGATCTGTATTTACAGATTTTTCACTTGGGGTTTGATTTCAACATTTTTTGGCTTTTTTTTTCTTTTTTTTTTTTATTCTATTTTTATTCTCCAGGCTTATTTCAGAAAAGCCACCAGGAAGTTACTGGGTTGAGGTTTCTGTTGTAGAAGTGTATAATAATGAAATTTTTGATCTTCTGGCCAAAGACAGTTGTGGCAAAGTATCTGGCGTCAAACGCGATGTTGTCACAACCAGAGAAGGAAAGAGCGATGTTCCATTGCTTACACATGAGTAAGTACACGATTTGATCCTTATCATCCGACCACGATCTGGTGTCAATGCAATGTATAGCTGTCACAAAATTGCGTTATAGGCAACAGTTATCGCTTTTAAACAGCGAGTCCTTACCATATGCAAAAGAACAGTTCTTACTGTTTCCATTAGCCCAGTCTATTAGACTGCATTTGGCTGCAAATGTCAAAATACTTTCAGAAATAACAGTAAAATTAGTTTGGGTTATGATCCTGTGTTAAGCACCTTCTACTCAGAATACCTGAAGATAGCTGTGTATTTCGTTGTTGCTGGATCTAGAGCATCTTGTCAGCTGTAGTAAAAGAAGGGGTAACCCAGTCACAAAGCACTTCCCCTTCAGTCTTACCAAATTATAAAATTTACAGATTAGAATAGAAATGTATGTACTTCTTGTAGATTTTTAAGCAGCTGTAGTGGTAGCTTTCCCTACCTACGCACACTGGAGTTAAAAAAAAGTACTCCAGAAAGAATAAGATTTTAAGTGATCTTTTAATATCAATACCCATCTTATGCTGCTTAGTATTCTGTTTTCATAACTGGAGGCATTAAAGTGGGAATTGATATACTGGCATTTGAACGCATAGTTCTTGAAAATCCAGGTTCTTCAAACTAAAAGCTAAGAAGTAGCTAAGCTTCTACACATTCAGTTTTAAGATGAATGCCTTCCCAGCATCAGTGTATGGTAAGTTTGATTCTTATTTACACATCTTGACGGTGTAGGGAGAGCTAAGGTATTTAAGGCTACAGCTATACTTATTTTAATGCCTTCTTGTACTTACTAAGCATTACAAAGGCTTGCTCTAGTACACATGTGAATGATTCTTGGTGTTATGTATGTGTAGTATACAAAGCAAATGTATAATACTTTCTCGTTATATATAAAACAGCTAACTAGATGGTAAAAATCACATGGCCATAACAATTCATCCATTAATAAGAATGAGTCTGTTTCAGATGCTTCATTTTAGTAATGGCTGTGTTGTTTATGCTAGTATTAAATCAACATTAGCAAAAAAATTCTGATAAGCAGTACTACTGGCACCAGAGAGGTGATGCTACCCAGTGGAATTAAGCTACTGGACATCTCCCTGTGAGCACCCAGCATTTCTGGGAATGGAAGGGAACATTTCTGTTTGTGCACTACAGAGAGGTCTAGAAACATAGAAAAAAATGTTCTGCTCCTTGGGCAAATGATGTTTGTGAAAAGAAACATCTTGCCCTATTGAAATGTTTAGCACAGTATTATAGTGTTTTATGTTTCTGGGGGAAACATGATGTTTTTCTTCACTTCTCTATAATAATGCCTGTCATGGTCTAATCTCTACTTTTCCAGGAGGAATGAGAAGTCAGATCCAATTAAAATAAAATGCACCCTCCGTGGAAATAATTGAAGGCAGTATTTTTGTCTTGTGGGACTTAGACACATTAGCAGACTAGTAGTTGTTTGTTTATGTGGGTTTATGCTATTGCCAGAAAGCCTCGATAAGAATACAAGAATGTACTGGAGGGTTGCGCAAACATACTTTTATTCTACCTAGTTATACACATTTATTGACTGGTATTTTCTAGCCATTGAACTGCTCATAGAAAAGTGGGACCCCAGAGAAATTGTAAAGTGGCTTTCTTCACCATGGGGGCTACATAACTCCTCTCCTTTCATTCTATGAAATAATCATCACTGCAATATTCTAGGAAGGATTAACATTTGTAGCTGGGGCATGCCTGCTCTTCAGTCTTGAGGTTAAACATGATTTCCAGAGAAATTCTGCATCCTTGATTGCTCTCTGCATGCTCCATAAGAGCATGGAATGAATTAAAAATGACTGGAGCTTGAACCCTTTTGCCCTCTCTGTCTGCATTATGCTGACTGGAGGGTTTATCTCTGTCTCTGTTCTTGGATTTCCCCAACTGTGACTCTACTCCAACTTTTAGCATCTGGTTAAGGCTCTGCTGTCAAGGGAATGAAAAAGTCCTTCAGAAGAGGTTGGGAGCAGAGCCTATCCCGTGTGTGCTGAATCTTTCTTGAAGGAGGTAATCTTTTTCCTTTGACTAGAGAAGAAAGGAACTGTATGACTTAGAAAATTAAGATGGGTGCATATAATGTGGGTATGATGGGAGCTGGATTTTTCCTTCTTCATCAGACCCTCCAAGTAATTTTTAATTATGGTATTTCAGTAGCCAAGATGCTGGCCTGGATTCATTCCTAAAAAATGCCTACTCCCCTTCCCAAGGGAGCTTTGCATGGTTAGTGGGTGACCCATCTCTTTTCCTAGGCTTTGGGGAAGGGAGAGATGAGATGTAGCTGGACTTGTGCCATAGAGACAAGAACTAGAAGCAGCAATAAGGTTTCATTTGTCCTTCTAGTTAATAAAATGGCTGCTCTGTTTATTTCTGTAAATTTTAATTTATGGTAAAGGAACCTGGCACCTTGAACTAATCACCTCTTAAAAACCACTTATCTCAATCAATTGATAAATACTCAATCCTAATGCAAATATAAATAAGAATATGGACTTGTATCTCAATCATAGTGCAAGCAGTGAAAAAAGTCCAATTCATAAACAGGTTATATTAATAATTAAACAGAAAGGTTAATAAGAAAAAGCAAACCCAAACAAAGTAAGGGAACCGTTGAATGAGGCCACCCAGCTGCCCAAAATCTAAAGTAAACAGTTGCTGCTTTGAATAAAAACACATCCTCATTTGTGATAATATTTCATCTAGAATATATTGGCCTGCTGGGTCTCATTGGCTTCTCCATATATCCATTAAAGTACAGTAGTCTCTTTCCTGCTAACATGTACATCTTATTGAACCACAAAAACCTCAGTCTCTTTCTTCTTCTATGGCTTGGTTGACTTTGGAGAACACTCAGCATCAAATTTTTAACCTAACCACAACAGGGCTTCTCTTTGTAGAATCTGGTCCTGGAACGTGTGGTACATACAGCATGATAAAGTCGCAGAGATTATACTCAAAAATTATTACTGTCAGTCCTGCTGAGAAGCTACTGTGCCAAGCTTGCAGCGCTGGGCTGGGGATGCTTTTTACCTCCAAAGTCAACTGCAGTTTCCCAGTAGGTGGCCAGCACCGACAGCATACCCTGAGGCTTATCTTCTGCAAATGCTCTTCAGAGGACAGCAGCTTGTAGCACTGACCCCTTGCCGCTGCACAGCAGCAGCCTGCAGAAGCTGATGGCTTGCTGCTGCGTCCTAGCGAAGGCTGCTCGCCCCTCGGGCCGCCCAGTCCCGGCTGACTAGCTATTGGCAGATGCAGTTCAAAACTCCTCGGGAAGGCAAGATCTGCCTCCCTGGACTTGAGGCAATAGTCAGATCACCCCAGCGTGAGGCTCTGCCTTCTCTGACAGTAGGAACTAGAGCCACTGCTTCCCTGCTGGTGCCAGGTCAAACAAACAAGCAGGGAGATGTTACCAGTGGATGCACAGAGGCAGCGATACTACAGGGGAGGCCAGCCTGTGCGGCTCAGGATTGACGGGTGAAGTCTATAGCGATCATTTAGCTCCTGCAGCTCTGGTTACACAGGGAACTGCTTTTAGGTGGCTGCTTCTCTTAAGTGTCTGTAAGCATGGTGTGGCTAAGTGTTTTTCTGTTCTTCAGATGCCCTTGCTTTATTTTCAGGGGCAATTGTTTTAGGAGGGTATAGCTCTTTGGTCTCTAGACTCTTCAAGTATGGTTCTTCTTAGCATAAAATAAGTTTGTGCCCAGTGTGACTTTCACTGAAATCGGCCAAATCTAAGTCAGGCCTTGGCTTTTATCACGTGCTTGCTTTTGCTGACTGCAGCGCTGTGGAACCAAGCCTGTAGCCTGTTGGCAGAGTTATTCATGGTTCTGGTGTTACAGGGCATTTGGTAACCAGGCTGCGATACGCAGTCATAATAGTTTATACCCCCATCTAGAAACTAATGTTTAGCTGATGTAACTTGAGTGATTATTGAAGAAGGCAATGCAGTGAAAGGAAAGGATAGGCAATCTTACCTCATTCGTTTTAAACATTGCAAACCTGAGGGAAATCATAGTGTTTTTTTTCTTTACCTAATCAGTTTATTTCACTTTGTGTTAGGTTTTTTCCCTTCAGTTGGTCATATTTGCAATATTTCCTTTAACTGGAAAAGAAAACAGGTAGTACATGATAAAATGGTCTATCGAAACTTTTGCCTGTCTATTCTGATGCTGTGCCGGAGTCTCTGCTCATTGAACAGTGGAATTGAACTTTTTTCCAAGGATTCTGGATTTAATTCCAAATGTGAAATATGATTTCCAAAGGCCCAGAGAAATTTCTTTTTTTTGCCCTAATTCTTTACCTCCCAAAGAACAGGAGCAACCTTAACATAAACTGGACAACTCCACTTTTGTAAGACCAGAGATTCCAGGAATGTCTAAATCTGTGTCTTTTCTTCCACAGTGTGGAGGCGTAGAAATTTCAGTCACTTCTAGATCTGAGCTACAGTACCTATAGACCTGCAAGGCTGGCAGGCCACTTCTTCAGCACTTTCAGTACTACATCACAGCTTTTGTCTTGAATTTTCATCTTATCCCACCTATATGACTATATCCCACCTGAAAAAGGCTATATACAGTTGTTTGTGCAGCTCAAAACTGAGATTACTATAAGAAGTTAGAAGAGCAGGGAAGTAGAAATGCTCAGATTCACGTCTAAGTTGTCAGCTTTCTCGTGTGATTTTTACTGTGAGTCAGTTAAATATTCTGCTTGTTTCTTTACTTCCTAGGACTGTTGAAAATGCATCTGAATTTTTGCACCTAGTCAACAAAGGCCTACAGCTGAGAGTCACGCACCCAACACTGGTGCATGCTCATTCCTCTCGTTCTCATCTGGTGGTTACATTGACCATAACCACAATTGTCTCTGGAGATAACTTTGGTAAGTAGGATGTTACTAAAATACATCTAGAGCCAGTTGTTTTTTGAAAAACAGTCTGTGGACTGAGAGATTTTCATATTGTTTTTTCCTCCTTTTTCCAATGTTGAATACATTCCCTCTGTTCTTTTCCATTGTTTAACTTCTGCGTACCTTCTTAAATAACAGGCCAGTTTGATGTCTGAATGCTACTGAAACTTTCACTTTCAAAAAAGCTTTTTGCTCTTCTTCACATGTGTTGACGTACAGAGTCCTTGAAGTTTTATAGCATGAAACAACTAATGAAATAAATTTTATCAATAATTCATAAGATAAGGTATAAGATAAGACAGATAAAGATAGTGATAAGATAGATACTCAAATACAGTCATTAAATCACTTCGTATGACATATATAATTATTCATGCTAAGTTTGTGGTAAAGCTAACCATGCGTTTTAGGGATCATCATACACTTTTGGGTGAGAAAGAATTATTTTTTTTACCCGCTGCCTTGCAAAAATGTCCATTAAATTCAGAGTCTCTTGAACTGTTAATAATAGGCCACTGTAGGAATGGACAACATAGTTGTCTTATTTACTATGGCAAAACCTATATTTCATTACCACACCAAGACCTACCAGTTTATTGCTTTAGGAATAACTTCAGCTTTTGGGGGTTAACTTCATTTTCTTTTGCTCATGTTGTAATTAGAGTCTCTGCTTCCAGTGCTGTGGTCCATCTCCTTCATGCTCTGCAACAACAAAATGGTTTTAGAAAGTGGAAAATATTTAACATTTTTCCCTTAGATTGCGATCAGAAATTAAACCGACGATATTAGCAAAACAGAACAAACAGTGCCCTCGCTTACCTGTGGGCCTTGCCAAAAGACACAGTTACTTCACAGGTTGCAGCTCCAGCATTCCAGACGTGAGCTCTAGCCAGTTCCAGATTCTTGTCAATCAGAGATGTTACTTTTCAAAAAACAGTGTTTGCACCAGCCATCTTGCCTAGTCCAGGCTTCCCCTTGCCATTTCGAATTGCAGTCACCCTACTACGCCATGTTGTCTGGCAGCAAAGCTCTGTAGAAATGTCTAATTTATGTTGGATGCAGACTCAGGCTTTCAGCTCATAGCGCATGGATGCAGATGTGCAATACGGGGGGCAGAGCAGCACTGCAAACGGGACCTCGCTCTAGCAGTGTGACAGCGCATTCTGTCTTGTTTAAAAGGAGAAATTCCTGATTTAAAAGCTAGGTGCAATTGCCAAATAGCTCAACACTGGAGATCTAAGTCACTCAATAAAAAGTTGTAAAGTCTGTGATGAGTTCTGCACCTAAAGCCAGGGTTGACAAGCCAGCACTTTTTCAGATTTGATTAAGGTCTTTTAGCATTTTGTTTCAGTAATATCTGTTGTTTGAGGAGAGCAGTTTCTTAATTTCCTTGTCTCAAACTGAAGAGGAGCAAGAACACTTATTTTTATACTGTATGGCCTGAAGCCACTTATTCTGTGTAAACCAACACAGCTGCTCTGTCTACACTGTGAACAGCTAGCTTGGGTTTTAGCAACAGCCTAGCTGGAGAGGTACAGAGCTCTGCAACCCAATACCATCTGTTCCTTACTCACATTTTGCAGCTGGGAACTTTGTACTATTGCAACAAGACTCTTTTAAGTTGCCAAGAGAGTCTGTTGTCTCTATTACCTGTAGCAGAGTGTGTGCCTTTTATTCTTTTATGTCTTTCAGAGAGTGAGAGAGAGGGAGAGAGAGAGAGATGGATGAAAACCAAAACACTGACGAGAAAAAGCAAAACTGCTTTGGGAAAGCCCTTTTGCATATACTCCTGCTAAGCTAACATCAAAGCAGCTTTCCCAGAGAATCTGTCTTCCTCTTCCTTCCCAGCAGAGAGCGAAAGCCAGATGATGCTGCTGAGGAAGAGGAAGGACACGAAGCAGTCTAGTGCAGCCACAGAACTGCCCAGCATAGTAGGTAACCAACCTGAACAAGTGGGAGTAATGCTATTGAAGCTAATAGCTCATCATGAGGAGATGCAGCAGTGGCATATGAGGGCTGAAGGAAGTCTAGAGCGAACAGCAGCAAAGGACAAAACAGAAGAGGCAGGATGAACTTTTTTTTTTTTGCCAGAGCACCAGCAGGTGATGTTTCAAATACATAGAAACAGACTTCAGAGCTTACTGCTCCCACACATTCAAAATCTCACTTTGGTTGCAGTCAATCTAAAACATGAAAAAATGCCCTTTAAAGTCCTTACTGGACTCCTGTAACTTTTGTTTTCCACGTAGAAATGCGAACAATGGGGTTATTAGATACAACAGAACCTACACCCAAGTCTTGTTACCAACTGGTATGATCAGTTTGATGAACAAAACCATAAATAAGATAGAAAAAGTCATTTGGCCTGCCCGTGCCATTGATTCTGGCCTGCATATTGCTTCTGTTAGAATAGCCTAAACCAGCAGATATTGTACTTCCCCTTTTGATGCCCCATTTTTCCCCATCTCAATTTCCAGTGTCAGTGAGAAGCTCCCCTTGTTTGTTTTTTCCATTAACCAGGTACTTCATGGGAAGATGAACAAACCAGTCAGAGACTAAATAAAGAGGTTTCCTGCACCTTTCCACAAAAAATGAGAGACAATAAATCCACCTCTTCTTCCAGAGCCTCTTCACCAGCACAACTTGAAGCCGCTGAGAAACTGAAGCAAGTCAAAACTAGATTGCAGCTGGTGGATCTGGCTGGTAGCGAGTGTGTTGGTAAGTGAACGTGTCTGCTGATGGGCATGGATCCCCTCCCAGATCTAGGTTACAATAGTTGCCTCTACCTTTTTATGTAGGGATATCTGCTACCCTGCTTTCACACAGGGGGTGGTTTAAACCCACAGATCCTGACATAAACAAAATTTGTGGGCCTGACTGTTCCAGTTTTACACGGGTACAGTTTAACTGAAATTCTGACTGCATAAGCCTAAAGTAAGCCCAGGGCGGTTACCCATATCATAGGTATATTATTTGTTCAGACTGGTTTTATTAGGCCTGTTTTTCTACTTTGAAAATTAGCATGTCTTTGTACAGAAATGTTTGAAGTGCATAAATTATTTAAATATTACAAATATCTGTAATAATTGATATCACCATGTGTGGGTTTTTCTGCCTTATTGTGGAAAAAATCTTGGAGGAAGTTAGTGTTGAAAAGATAATACTGTTTTCATTGTTTCTTCAAAGCATTTTCCTCCTCCCCCCCTCCTGTATGCACACAATAATTTCAAAAACCTGATTATTTCCTAAAGGACAAGCTTTCTTACCAAGAAAAGCCATGCAGCCAAATGTACCATTCCAGAAATAATGTTTTGAAAACTGAACCAGTATTATGAAAGAGTCTTTTACTTTACTGCCAAAAATTCTTGCTGTTGCTCACTGTTAAACTTTTGTTCTACAGAGAAACCTAATATAATACTTTTTTTTTTTCATTTGCTCTAATTGCTGGAAACTGTTTGGTAAACACGTAATTGAGCAACAGCGTGTGTGTTTGTTCCCTCAGTTCTACCAGGACAAAGATGTACTTGGTTTGGGGCTCAGAGGGCCAGAGGCTCCAGTGAAGCCCAGCAGAACTGTGCTCGCTCACATCGGTGTTAGAGGTGGCCCAGCACATACAGCAGACTGACCTCTGCCATCAGCTGCACTGGTGGAGATTTGAAGATGTTGGATTTACTCTGATAAAAGTGAGGGCAGCTGTTAACTCGTAATTGTTTTAAAATGTGAACAAATCTAAACGAGCAGCAGTAGCAGGCATCTCACACACTTTAAATGTAATCAGCACCTTGCCTCGTTAGCTCCACGGCCATCCTGCATCATTTACAGCGTTTACTAAGTAAGTGGTCCCTTTCTAGCAAACTAGGTTTCAGTTTGAAAACTCGGCTAAATGCTTTGTGGAAGTTCATCTGACCAAATGTAGATACTCATGAGTTTAAACGTGTACCCCCTCACCTGTTTGCAGTTTTCTGCTTTAGGGTGATACCCGTTGCCTCAGGAGTCTACCTTCACTGACTGTAAAAGAAGCCTGGGGATGGCTGTAGACACAGACCCCAGTAGTCTGAGATGCATCCTATCTCAGATTATTGACACCCTGTGGCAGGGTCTTCCAGACTGTTTTGTTTTGTGCCTCTCTGCAAAGAGACTCTACCATTCCAGCCCCATCCTCTCCCACAGTCACATTTCTCCAGCCCTCATTGTCCAGACTTCTGGGGTTTTTTTTTGTTTTGTTTTGTTTTGTTTTTTCTGTTACTGTGCCTTTTCACACTTGCCTCTTGGACACCTCTCTTGTTCTCCCAGTTGGGAAAATGCTGGCCTAAAGGGAAAACAAGATCCCTAGCCTCTCTGTACAGCCTCTTTGTCTCTCTAGAGGTGGGACAGAAGGCAGCGGAGGAAACTGTTAGCCCCGTCTGACCGTCCCACTGCCACTAGCTCTGCCTAGCATGGATCGTGTGCTCTGGGTAATGAGAACTGATTGCAGATGCAACTGTAGCTCATCCACTATCCTGAAGAAAGGTTGAATTTGAAGAATGTGATGTTAAATGGTAACAGCAAGTTTCTCTTTCCCAAATGGCAGAGGTGAGGACTGGAGGAATTAATTGCTCTTAACTGCACACCCATCCAGACCGATCACAAAGTTGAGCTTGCAGCACCTCTTGAACTTGGTGCAACTTGATTTGTAGACCAAACCTTTCCAGTGTTGCTCAAGGGCAGCATAGCTACATACCGCCATGCTGGGTGGATGGTAGAAGGGCATCGATTTCCTTACAGCAAATCATACCACAAAGAACAGCCCCTTACAGACTTTGGTGAACATAAATCCCTCACACTTGTGGCTGCTGTAGAGTTTTGTTTCTGCGGCTTATGCCATCAGTGTCTCTTCTCTTCTTCCTAAGGGATACAGACAGGGCAGTTAACTATTATAAAAAATGGTGGAACACAACAGGCTTCTCTCTGGGGACACCGTGGACTGATGTTTTCAAAAGCAGCATTGTCTTGTCTGGTCTTATGGTGTTCCTGCTTTCTCAGCTCCATAATACATACGGAGCCAAGATGCATTGTACAGCTGAAGAGATCAACTTTAACATGAGATACTTCAGACCACCTGCAGGCACTGAACCTTCTTTAACCTTCCTTCAAAGAGCAGAAGTACGGGACAATGTATTGGCAGTCTGGAGTAAAAAATCACTACATCTTGCTTTTCGCATGGAAGTCACGGTTCAGAATTTGTGTTCGAAAATGCTGCGTCAAAAGCAGATGATACAGCAACAGAATTTTTCACAATTACAATTGACGCAGCTTTGCTTAGTCTTACCATTGCCCTTTTCTACACTGTACTAGGTATGTCTGGAGTGACAGGTGCAGCACTGAGAGAGACATCATTTATTAACCGCAGCTTGTCTGCCCTAGCAGATGTTCTTGGAGCAATAGCAGAACAGCGATCTCATGTACCATATCGAAATAGCAAACTTACGCATCTGCTTCAGGACTCCGTAGGTGAGGGATTATTCAGACTTTTGTTTAACGGTATAGATTTCTTTTTCCAATCTTTCCCCTCCTTTGTTGTGTAAAACTAGAGGATGATCTTGTATTCCTCCCTTGTATGTGAGCCTCTATTCAAAGACTCTGGCTTTGGAGCAGTGCGAGTACACAGTGAGAGTTCTGAACTCCTGAATTTAGCTAAACCTTGCTGTTTCCAAGGTTCAGTTGAGGAATACGCTTGGAATAATCACAACATTTCTAATAGGATCGTGTAAAGGGCAATAATTGCATTTCACTGGTGTTTCATGTCACGTACAGTTTAAAAGTTAAGCTTCAATCTTTATTACTACAGGGTGTAGTCACAACTTTGTCCACTCCTTAACGTGGTGCCCTGTAGCAAAGACAAAGGAGGGAGACAGAATATATGCATGGTACTGTGCTACAACTCCTTTTTGTATTTGGGTCTCCTTCTCTTCTCTAGCTCTTCATCTATGCAGAAATAGTTTTAAAGAAAGTGTAATTCCTGCAGTAATGTCAGATTTGTATCATATTGTTAGATATAGACTTCCCTTGAAGGAGCTGTCTGTTTTCAACAGCCCTCTTCACATACAGTCTTCTGCTTCATAAAAGCAATGGTAGCCTACGCTCGTTGTCGTGTAGATCAATACATTACCAGTGTATATAACTCACTGAAAATAATGAGGTAAATAAGCATGTTTTGTCTTTTTCCTGCTTTTAGGAGGTGATGCTAAACTGTTGGTGATGCTGTGCATCTCTCCTGACCAGAAGTACTTAACAGAATCAATGCAGTCTCTGGGATTTGGAACTCGTGCTCGGCAAGTTCAGAGAGGACAAGTCAAGAAAAAAAATTTTCCAGTGCAGAGTAAAGCAAAATAAAACCTAAGACTCCTGTGGATTAAATATTATTAATGAGTTCCTCAGACTGAAATGTATATTGTTGTCTTAAACCCATTCTTTTAGATATCAACTGCCAGATAAAATAAACAATGCTCAACGTGGCATTAGTAAGCCATAAACCTGCTGATAATGTTCTTGCTCCAAAGATAACAGCAAGTATTGACAACAGCTACCAACTGTGGTGGAATGGCGTAGAAATAAATCAGGCTTTTTTTAGGAAAGCTACTTCAAGACATGGTTTTGGTGTTGTGTTTCCTTCGGACTAAGTCAGCAGAGCCCTGATTTAGGATGGCTTGCTTCTGAAAGGCCAAGGGTGCTTCTCTTTTCTCAGTAGAAGACAGGAGTCTACATATCATTCTGGTGCTTCAAAGCAGCAAGCGAAATACTTCCCCTCAGCTTGGATTAAAATGAGACAAGTCATCGTGGCTTGCTCTTCTGTCTAGCACTGATGGGGTCATTCCTAACGCACTATCAACAGGTAGGACTGCAAAGGAACCCATCAGCTGTGCTGAATGGAGTTCTGTTCTCTGCTTTTCTGTAGGAAATAATGGCACTAGTGAGATGGAGAAAAAGAAATAAGGCTATAACTGTTATCCCTCTGGAACGCAGCTTAGGAAGCAAGTGAGGATTATACAACTTTTTGAAAACACACTCGGGTTAAAAGGTTGGAGCAATCCCAACTCTGCTGAGTTCACTAGGACTACAGCTTTGCCTGTTTGGTTTTTTTTTTTTTTTTTTTTTTTTTTTTTTTTTTTTTTTTTTTTGCTCCATGAGTGCTGAAAGGCCCTGAACTACAGATCCTAATGGCTAATGGGACCTAACTTGTACAACTGTTTTAGTAGTAGTCTGGCCTGTATTTTCACTTGCATTTCTGAAGCAAGTTAACCACATCACAACCTTGAAGATGTGCCTGCATATTCGAAAGGGGTAACATCCATCCATCGCATGAATAAAACACCAAAAAGCCAACTTGTGATATGATGCTTGTCATCTTCAAGAGGCTTTCACCCTCTTACACCAACATTGAGACAACATCGTGCAGGGTTTGTGAACGAAGTTACACTGGGAAAAGTTTCAAGGAAATTTAAGCAATGTTAGAGATGAGAATTGGTTCTGAGATGAGTAGCTGGGTTCAAATAATGTCCGATGTGTTTTATGTGCTGCGTTATTGCTCAGCAGAGGCCTCAGGATCCACTCTGAATTTTTACCTCCAGCAATCCCTCTGCCTTTAGACTGGGAGAGAGGTCATCGGTAGGTCACTGCAAGAAGGCTTAAATTGCAGTGGCCTGCCCAAAAGGCTGGAGTTTATAGTACTCCAAGTCACTTAACCTTCACAAGCATAAATATTTATCCAGAGATTATATAGCATACTATTACTGGAATTTCACCCTTGAATATATAACAGCTGCTGTGTTGCATGCAGCGCTCTGGTGCTCAGAACGTTAGCATCCAACGGGAAAGCTGTAATAATACTTGTTTTCCGAAATACTGTCACGAGGGTAAAAATACCTTAACTTCACCTGATTTCAGCAGTAACAGATGGGTAGGAGACGAATGTGGACACAGGACTTTACGAAGCTGAATGGTCACTAAAGCAATCTCAGGTGAGAAAGTGTCAGAGCAAGGAACGTTAGCCTGCTAAATGAAACGCCGGAGCAGATGACTTCAAGCTCCCCTTAGTCTCACGACAGCTAGGCTACTAAAGCAGCGCGGATCACAGCTCTAAAAGAGGTTAAGTGACAAGGGAGGGCTAGCTGATCCCACCAGCATCTTTAGGTAAGCAAGTTCCTCAAATATTTTTAAGGATTTGGCATTTCCTAAGTGTTACACAGAAATGTAACTTGTCACGAACTGCGCTTTCTTTTCTGGAGCTGCTCTTCAAAATTTGGCATTTATTTACAATCTGTGTGGCAGTGGAAGAGCAGCAATACCTATTGTTAAAGCTGAGAAATAAACGCCTTAAATATCAGCAAATACTAAAAGTTTAGGTTTCTACATTAACATTAACTCTGCCAAATTGTGCATATGCAGCATTCCCTATTCCTGTTTTCCTTGTCAGCGTAGCGTATCACTCGCTGTTTGACCCACACAATGAAGCGTACAGGATACGCAGGGCAGCAACCTTAACATTTTGCTCTAAGAACTTTCAGTTCTGGAATTTCCTGGGTTATAGAGACGCGATTGCTCAATCCCAGCATCAGATGTGATGCACTGAAGGAAAGAAGGGTAAAAGTTGTAAGGGTGAAATGGCTTTACTCCAGCATCTAAGCTGAATTGTCTTCTGCCCGAAGATTCACTTGGACCTGCTAAAGGAGAGGCTGGGATCTTCAGACATGTAAGTAGTCCCGAGGAGCAAGGAAGACAGCATGTGCAAGGCCCTGTACTTCTCTGCTGTAATTTTTTTTTCTTTAGTTTTCAGATCTTTTATGCTTTGAAATAACCGCTATATTAGAAAAGCAGGTGGGGTGGACATTCACCGAGCTTACTTCAAGCTTTCCTTTGTTGACTGAAACCTATCCTGATAAACCCGTCCTCATCGTCTTGACACTGGAAAGCCGAAACATACATACCAACACTGCAAGAAATAAAATTAGATTTGAAAGTGTTTTAATAAATGGAGACAGGAGGTCATAAAAGCACCAGGAAAAAGGTGGTTGTTTTCAAGAGAGCCCATGTAGTCTATTTGCTAATACAGCTTTGCTCTGTGGGAGGGCAGGGGCACAAGGAAACGAGAGTAAAAACTATATAAATCAGGAGAAAATCCTTTCAGTGAAGCCCACGAGTACCTAATCCAGAGCTCAGCCGCTCTCTTGGTGCACTGAAGCGAGAGCACTGCCAGCCCTGCTCTACCCCTGCCGGCTCAGCCGGGTGACCGGGTCACTTTCGGAGGGAGCGCTACTCAGTACAGGGGGTCCTCTCTGCTATCCTCTATCAGCACGCCCTGGTGGCAGCCACATGTTAACCTTTCACTGCTGGGCTCTCATTCTCCTCCCCCGGGCCACCACTTTCTCCTGTGAGAGTTCAGCCCGTCCTCAGCTACGTCGCACCTTCCGCCATCCCCCAGCTCGCCGTAGGAAAGAGGCAGGCCTCCACACGGTGAGGCAAGGCACCACAGACCCCAGCTACCTGTTGGGCTGGACTTCAGACGCCCCTCTCGAATTTATTCTGCCTTCTTCCTTGCCCTGCAGATGAGCTGAGCAAACCATTTTAGCAACAGTAGCTAAGAGCCTCCACCACCTCCTCAAAAAGCCTACCCATTATCGAAAACACAGCAAATACAAGATAATCTGGTCTTGTGAATGCTTGGGTACTCAGCCTCCTGGCTTTGTGTCAAGTTGGCCAGGGAGTCAATGGGGTGAAGCCTGACCAGCGCAGCGGCTGCCTGGGAGGCCCAGGGTCCAGCATGCATGCCAACGTACCCCGAGCACCTCACATAAAAGTGGAAGCTGCTGCCACACTGCGAGCACCCCTCACCCCTGGCACCCTGCTCACACATCCCCCAACCCACGGGCCAAGCACCCTCCCAGAAAGCAGAAAATTTGGATCCAGTTCACAGACAAAGGACTTGAGCTCACGTCTCTCCCCGCACAAGTGAATGATCTGGCTTGTAGGACATCCAGCAGATCTGGAGATGGGGTGGGGAAAATGGGACCCTGCCAGACCGATCCCCAAGTCCTAATAGCAGCAAGTACTCGTCTACGGTAAAATACACAGATATGCATACACACAGACCTACACAAAGTTAGCAGGAGAAGCCTAGGCATACCTAGAATCAGACAATAGCCTTCAAGGTATAAGTCCCAAATTTGGCCCAAAAGTACAGATTGGTGCCCACATTTCCCTGCGGATCTATCATTACAGATGGAAGTTATCAACTCCGGTTGTTGGTTCCTCTTGCAGCCAAGGGAAAGGGATTAACAGGCTAGATCCACTTTCAGCAAGCGCCTCTGCCTCCCTAGTCTGGAGAGGGAATCCAGGCAAAGGGTTTAAAGCCCCAACTCTCAGTTTGCCACGGCCAGGGAAACTGATTGCGCAGGTTTTGAAGGACATACATACAATTGCTGTGGAGGTTTTTCACTTTTTCAACCTTGATCCCTACCATACCTACCCAGCTCTAACGTTAAGCTCTGAAGTGCTGGTCCAACACACCTTCTTTCAGCCTTTGCAAATCTGTCCCCAGGGCGCTTGCAGCACCCGGCTTTCCGTACAGGGGAAGGCAGCGTGCGACGGAGCAGAGCAGAGCATAGCATATGGCACAGGAGCTGCTCCCCATCAGTTCCCCATGAGGATGTTTTTTTCAGCACCCACAGGGAACACCTCTGTGCAAGGCAGCTTACCATGCCCCGAGAGCTGCCCCACGCCGAGCACATGGCCGGCGCACTGGAAATTCATGCTGCGGTTCGTAGCAGTCTGCACCCTCCGCAGACCAGCTGTTCATCTTCCTCACCACCCAGGAGTACTCTTATCAGCAGAGCCCAAGGAAGCGATGTGATCCACAATTACTTCACAGTGCTGCATCTCATCATGGGGTTAAAAAAAGCAGTAATTAAACCAGCCAGTGCCTTTGGCCCATTCTTAAACAAAACCTTGACCTATGCTGACGTTTGAAAATTACATATTTAATTTCCACATGTGGCTTCATACCTTGGAAGCAGCCACACCACAAAAAGAGGCTGCTCTTGGTTTTGGCTAGGAAAACCATAATTAGCATTGGAAGGTTCACAAAAATGTTTAATTTGTTATTAAATTGCCGATTCCATTTTATGAAGCACTTTTCCAAACCTCTGCAGAATGCGAGGCACAGGCAGAACAAAGCGGTTATTGGAAAAGGCTTTCAGCTCCTGCTGTGGAGAAGCAGTTGCAAGCTGATGGGGTTGCAAGCCCCTTCCAAGCAGAGGAAGGGGCAGCAGCGTCTGCTCGCGGAGGAGCAGGCCGGCCCAGAGCGCAGGGACACCAAAGGTACCGCGGCCTTTCACAAA